AAAAAAAAAAGTAACATAATTAGTTACTTTTTTTAAGGTAGTAACGCAATTGTAAAAGCATTACATTTCAAAGTAGCCTGAAGTGCTGAGGAGTCGTGGCTCAAATTCCCCGCGGCCTGAAGTCAGTGTTTCTCTATAGAAACAGTCGGAGGCAATAAAGCCGATTAACGCTGAATACTCACACAAACTCCTCTAAGTGCCATTCAAAGGCCCAATTCTTCTGCGAACACCGGCCATCTGTGCGCTGTGTGTGTGAGTGAGTGTGTGTGTGAGTGTGTGTGTGTGCTGCTGAGAGCCCATTGTGGAGGACAGCACAGAGAACACCCTGCGCATGTCACTGGGATATCAGCGCTTGATAAAACACACCGGCATATTCACAAGATCTTTACTTCATTCACCCACGAAACTAAACTAAACTAAACACTACACTAAACTAAACACTAAACTAAACTAAAAACTAAACTAAACTACTGATTTACCACTGGAAATGTCTGAAGGTTCACGTGAGGGTCGAGGTTTGTGTTCGTCTATTGTAATTAAAATGAGCTTAATTTAAGAACAATTGAAGTCAATGGGAAGTCAGTGTGTGTGTTTAAGTGTGTGTGAGGGTGTGTGAGTGTCTCTGCGTGTGTGTATGAGTGAGTGAGGTATGTGAGTGAGTGAGTGAGGTGTGTGAGTGCATGTGAGTGAGTGAGGTGTGAGTGTGTGAGTGTGTGTGTGTGCATGTGAGTGAGGTGTGTGTGTGTGCATGTAAGTGAGGTGTGTGAGTGAGTTGTGTGTGTGTGTAGTGGGACGCGTGTAGACATTTCCCATTACTCCAGAAGCCTAATCCCGCTTCTCCTGAGGCGACACACAGATTTCTCCACTTATCCGAGAACAGCGAGTAACGAGTCTCCATGGCGACCGCGAACGCCTCATTACACTAATGCTCACACCGCGGAGAGCCCCTTTCCCCGACACACACGATCAATTACTCCAACGGCGGGATTCCCACAGACGACACGAAACCCCGAGAACAGAAAGTTGAGGATGAATCATTCTGGACAAGCTTTGAGATAAACGACAGCATCGTGAAGAGCAATAAAGAGCGCTTGAGGACGACATAATGACTTTTTTATACAGGGGGCAAAAATTTACAACTAAATAAAAACACAGTAAATTCCCTGAGCTTGCCATCAGGGTGGCTGCATTCACGCATACAAGACGCTTCTCTTTTTTTGTCTTCGGGTGAATTGCAACGATCACACCAGTGTTAAAAAAAAAGTAAATTAATTACTAGTTACTAATTACCTCTTCAACAGTGTAATTAGATTACTGTACTAATTACTCTCTCTAAAAAGTATTTAATTACTAATTATCAATCTCAACCAGCTGAATAATACAAGGATAGACATGAATCTGTTTTAATTCTTTCAAATAAATACTATAAAATTGCATGAATTATCCTTAAACAGACCAAGGTGGAGAAGATTACATTATAAAAACATACTTTTTAGCATCAGACAATACATTTTGATGTTAAACCCACTATTGTTTTATGTCTGATCTCATGACATTTCACACTTTTTTCATACATATTTTACAATAATTCATACGAATTTGTATTTATGACTAGCATATCTCTAGTTACAGTCCCTGCATTGTAAAATGTAAGTTAGACTTGCGAGGAGTGAACATTTAGACAGAGAAAAAGTATCAAACGTATCTTGTGCAGAAAAGTTAGCTTTTCTTTTACACGTGTGTGAAATACAACAATATTTAATAAAAAAAAAAAATATCGACCGATATATTGGAATATCGGATTTATCGGTATCGGTCTTCAAAATCCTTTATCGGTCGGGCTCTAATACACACATAACTATAGAATAGTGTTTTATCACAGGTTTAGATGTTCAAAGTCTGTTTAGAGAGAACGGTGTCGTCTTAGTCGACCCTAATTTAATAACAAATGATCATTTCGACCGAAGTGACTAACTTAAGCTGGAAAATAACATTATTCAAGAACCGCTATACAACCAAACCAATCTCTGTTACCTTTGATTATATGTTTATCTCTGTAAAACTGCTTCGAGACAATCTACATTGTTAAAAGCGCTGTATAATTGAGGATGACTTGACTCATAATATACTTTCAACGGCAATTGCATGTGCACTTTATTTGTACCTTTTTGTTTCTTTATCCATTTACATTTTTTTAGAATTTGAAAGATAATAAAGATATTGTTTAATAAGTGCAATCTCTGATTGTGGTCCTTGAAACCCAAAACAGTAGTGCTTAAAACGTCCTGGAACTTAATTTTACAGCATCGGTACCAGTGTTGGGTAAAGTTACTCTAAAAAAGTTATTACTAATTACCTCTTTACAAAGTATATAATTACTAATTACTTTTAAAATCCCAAATCAATCTCAACCAGCTGAATAATACAAGGATGGACATCAATTTGTTTTAATTCTTTCAAATAAATACTATAAATTGCATGAATTATCCTTAAACTGACCAAGGTGGAGAAGGTTACATTATAAAAACATACTTTTTAGCATCAGACAATACATTTGATGTTAAACCCACTATTGTTTTATGTCTGATCTCATGACATTTCACACTTTTTTCACACATATTTTACAATAATTCATACAAATTTGTACGAGTGCGGTCGTAATATTTAGACACCTCATAAAATGCATACGAATCGCTGTGAGATCAGATTGATTTACCTCAATTACATCAGAAGTAACTAATTAAATTACAGATAAATGAAGATTAATCTCTTACTTTACATTTTCAAGGGAAAAGTAATTAAATTACAGTAACTAATTACTTAGTAATTAGTTACACCCAACACTGGATCACACACACACACACACACACACACTAGCATCATGGTGACTTCTGCATGGGCTTTTATAGAAATGTAGTTATTTTCTAGTTTCTCTCACTGTTTCAGAGTCTGTCTGCATGAAAAACGCTTCAGTTCATTCAGACACACACACACACACACATTCCTCACGGGTCATTTTCATTTGGATAAGATTTACTCTGGAACGGTTCCTCACACACACCCACCAAAATACGCAGCAATTTCCGTCAGTGAAAAACAAAACCCAGACAAACCAAGGCAAAGGTAATAAAGGTTGTAAAATATAATTCATACATGCATTACATACACACACACACCCATAAATAGACACATATACACACACCCACACATACACACACCCATAGATACACACACCCATAGATACACTGACATATACATTCATGTTTATACACCCGCGCACACACACACACACACACATAAAAGTCTCTTGATTTTGATTGATTGACAGGTGTCATCTAATGTCAATGCATTGATTGTGTTTAACTTACAAGCACACACTCGACTAATGACACACACTTCTCCAGCTGTCCGTCACGTATTCAGAACATCCCGAGTTGTTGGTTCAATTCCCACTTATCCATGTGCAAAACACACACACATGATCCTCTGCCGGAGGACACCATTACATTAGTGTAGGGAGTTTTGCATTAAGAGCAGGAGACGAGTGTGTTTAGACGAGGAGGAGGCGTGGCACCAGCCGGCACAGGAGTGTGTGTGTGAAGTCTCTATCGCGGCTTTGTGAACCAACATTTCTCCATTACTCAACATTTCCACACCAGAGCCGCCGAATCACATTAACAGGACCAGATTCACACACACACACACATTCCTGCACTTGCTTTGGCAGAGCGGAGGAGAATCGGCAGCCAACCGTGATCTCACTGCACACACACACACACACACACCCTTCAGGATACAAACACTGAGATGCTCTCTTGCATCAAAGTCACCATGCACACACACACACACACACTGAGTCACAGAAACACACAAATGAGATGCTTTTTTGCATCAAAGTCACCATGCATGCACACACACACACACACACACACACACACACACACACACACTGTTGCATTAAAATCACCATGCGCACACACACACTGAGCCACAGAAACACACAAATGAGATGCTTTTTTACATCAAAGTCACCATGCATGCACACACACACACACACACACACACACACTGTTGCATTAAAGTCACCATGCACACACACACACATTTTTGCACTAAAGTCACCATAAAAATCAAAATTGAACGTGAATATTGCAGTGTTTAGTCGGTGCACCTCATTATTGCATTACTCTGATGATGAGGAGACCTGTCAATCACATGACATGACCACAGCCATCCAATCAATGCACTCGGATACGGCACAATAGAGAAGTAAAGACCAGCGCAACTTCCCCTTTATGAACACTTTAAAAAAATACCACTCGCAATTATTATTAATTAGAGTAAGTATTGATCTTTTTCAAGTTAATTAAAAGAGCCAGAGTGTGAGCCAATCTGCACGTCAACTACACTAAAATATTCAAAACTATGCATATCAATATACATTTAAAATGTGATTATAAACTCTTTTAATTGGACTAGACCAAAACAAAATCCACCAAGGCTGCATGAATTGATCAAAAATACAGTAAAAATTGTGAAATATTATTGCAGTTTAAAATATCAGTTTTCTATGTGAATATATAGTAAAGTTTAATTTATTCCTGTGATCAAATCAATCATTACTCCAGTCTTCAGTGTCACATGATCCTTCAGAAATCACTCTAATATGAGGATCTGATGCTCAAGAAACATTTATGATTATTATCAGTGTTAAAAACAGATATTTATATTCTCACTTCAGGATTCTTTGATATAGTAAGTTATAAATAAGTATAGTAAGTATAAGAATAATAAGTTCAAAAGAACAGCATTTATCTTTTGCAACGTTATAAATGCCTGTTACAATTGATCGATTTAATGTGTCCATGCTGAGGGGAAAAATTAGCAATTGATTTCTTTAAAATAAAATTCTTACCAACTTTAACGTCTCCATTAAAGTGGAGTGAAACTAGTGTCAAACTGGTTTCTGGTCAGTAAAACACAGATTTCCATGTTCTTACCTTCTCCCATCAGGCTGTTGTCGTGAGAGCCGCTGGACTCTTCTCTCATGTCCCTCACACACTGAAACACACACACACACACACACATCATGAAATCACCTGAACAAACACACTTCCCTGTACTGACAGACTTTGAAGAGCTACATGAACTGTAAACACACGGCTAGTCATAAATGTTTGCTTCTCATGATCTTTTGATTGAAAGTTGAAGATTTGAGTTACAACTTCGTCAAGTCAGCTTTATTTCTATAACGCTTTAACAGATGCATATTAATTATGACACTTGTGTTTTAGTGCTGCTCTGTTACTGTGAAGCTGCTTCGTATAAAGTATTTACAGTGGATTTAGAACAGCTAAGGGGCATTGATAAAAATAAAGTTTATAAAACAGTTACACCATAAAAATATTAATTTTAATATTAATTTTATTTATAAACATCAGCAACAAAAAATATAACATTAAACTACAAGCAATGTAGTTCCAGAGAGGTTGCCAAGCAACACATGCAGCAACAAAGAGAAACACACGGCAGTGACACTAATGTAGTGTGTGTGTGTGTGTGTGTGGAGTCATTTACAACGGCTTCGAACGCCACTCAACCAATCAGAATTAAGGACCGTAACTTTCGGTTTTATAAATCGAAATGTACACTACCGGTCGAAGGTTTCGGATCGGTGAGATTTTTTAATGTTTTTAAAAGAAGTCTCTTCCGCTCACCAACGCTGCATTTATTTGATAAAAAAATAAAATAAAAACAGTAATTTTGTGAAATATTATTATAAATGTAAATCAGCAGTTTTCTATGTGAATATATAGTAAAGTGTAATTTATTTAATTTATACATGATGATCCTTCAGAAATCAGTCTAATATGAGGATCTGATGCTCAAGAAACATTGAGTTGAAGACAGTTATTTACATTCTCACTTCAGGATGCTTTGATGAATAGTAAGTTCAAAAGAACAGCATTTATCTGAAATCGAAAGCAGAATTAAAATTGTCATAATATTTCACAATATTGCTGTTTTTGTTGTTGTTGTATATGAAGAGTTTAGATGCAAAAGCCTCTAAATGCCATTTGAAATTTTCTTCTAAAATGACCATTTTTATCAAGCTTGTACATTTAAGTTCAGTAATTTCACTTAAATGACAATTAATAGGTAATCTTCATTGCCATTTAAGTAAAATTACTGAACTTATATATACAAGCTTGATAAAAATGATCATTTTAGAAGAAAATTTCAAATGGCACTTAGAAGCTTTTGCATCTGAACTCTTCATTTATCAAATAAATGCAGTGTTGGTGAGCAGAAGAGACTTAGTTCAAAACATAAACAATCTTACCGATCCAAAACTTCTACATCTAAACAAAAACACAAACCTGAACAAAGACGACACGAGCACTTCAAGATCAACTGAACAAACCAGAACAAATATTAAAAGCTGTTTGAGAAGATCTTTAAATTGCCACTGTGCCTTAGACAAATATTGTGTAAAGGTTGTTTTCTGCTCTGATGTGCCAATGCATTGCGATGAGTGTGTGTGTGTGTGTGTGTGAGACGTCTGCATTCCTGCCCCGGATTCGCTCTCCGAGTGGAAAAACTCCCGAGTCTTTATCAGTCCCGCAAATGGAAATTCCTGCCATTCCATCAGACAGAGTGAATCAGTGTTTCCCGCAGCATCGTGTGTGTGTGTGTGTGTGTGTGTCGTACAGGAGACCCGGCCAAACGTCAGCGGACTTTACACTGAAACCCAACCGAAACTTCAACTTCACTTGTTTACCTTCAGCAAAAAAACCTTTCCTAAATCCAACAGGGAATAAAGTCAAAGCAATAACTTTCAGAGAAAACACATACACACACAATCAATTCAATTGATTAGACAATTGAACCATTAAAACATATTCATGAAAAATTAAATAAAATAAAAAAAACAGAGAATTTGAGAAAAACAAAATTTGGAAAAAAAATAAAATAAAACAGATTTCTTACGACTCTAAAAATTTCATTTTTGTTAAACTTAAAAAAAAAAAACAAGTTTCCTGATTTCCATTAATTAAATATTATTTTTGATTATTAGTTTAACCATTTTTAACCAATAAAACGGAATCCAGAAAATTAACAAAAAACAGAATTTGAGAAATAAATAAAAAAATATTTATTTTTGTTGAACTTTTAATAAATTGATGAACTGTATAAGTTTCATGATTAATTAAAATTTAAAAACTTTAATAATATTTTAATTGAATTGTATAATCGTACTGCTTTCAATTAATTACAGCTGCTTTTGATTACATTTAACCCAACCATTAAAAAAAAAGGAATTTGTGGCAAAATAAAACGATAAAATAAAAATTTCATGCATTTTTATTCAATTGTATGAATTTCATGATATCAGAAATAATAATTGAAAAGTAATCCAAAAACAGCACAATGGGAGGGAACAGAATTTGGGGGGGGAAATAATTAAAAAAAAAAAATGGAATTTTGAGGAAAAACTGAATTTTGAGGAAAAATGGCCATATTCCACTACACTTTCACAGTATATTCTACTCATGATGTACTCATTTTACAAGTCAAAAACAGGGTTGAGAGCTTCACTAATCTTGAACTAATTCGATTGTAACGGTGTGGAGAGCATGTGTGGGCTGATTCCCATGAGTCTCTGTTTTTAACGAGCACCAGGATCCGAGATCAGAGCCACCGAAGTCTTCCAGGATTAACATCCACATTGTTCCTAATGTAATCGCTGCGGTCTCTGAACTGACAGCTGTGCTTCCGAGACGAAGATAAGATCACAGACGACACCAATATTGGCGGAAGTTCCCGGATTTTGGCGCGTTCGCACCGCAGAAACGATTTTAGTTCTGGGAACTCCTTTTGGAGGGACTACTAAACCAGCACTATAGGAACTACTATGGAGTTTTTAGTCAATCAAACAGACCGCACTAGAGAGTAAAACAGCACTTGAGAGTAGGGCTGGGCGATAAAACGATAACGATAATTATCGCGATATAATTTTCCTCGATAAAACGATATCAAGAGGTCGATAAATGTTCGATAATGTTTATGCGTCAAAAGCGGAACGAAACTCATTTAAACCGCGCGCGCCACACGGAGCATTTATCCGCTCGGGTCAAAGTCCAAGCGGAGTACGAGCTCACGGAGACGCGCCTCTGATCGTTTTGCTCACGAGATCCAGTGAGAAGCACTTGAGTTCAGCGAAGAACACAAATGTCAAGTTTAAACCAGTTTAAAGGCAGATGAAACACCGCTGACAAAAAGGAGAAACACTGCGTGCAACGATACAGTCAGAATCTGAATTGATACTGAATCCATTTAGCCTGCCATGGATTTACTGTAAGGTTAGCCTGGTAATATTAACTGCACCATGAAATGTGGGATATACATATTGAATTGTATAATATTATTAATGTAGACAATGTATTATGACTAATGGAATATAAGTACAGTATTTAATAATGTATTTAACTGTTAGGCTATTGTTTTTCAAACTAAAAATACAGAAACCATCAAGTTATGCCATGATAGTGAGGAGCTAAGTTATAGGCTATAACGTTACCTGGTTTTATCTGTGGTTATCATGATCTAAATGCATGATACTGGATGACCAATGGTTAATTTGAATACAACTCAAACAGTCAGAATATTACTTTTTACCAAATAAAAATGTGGTTGTTACATAAGAAAAAAACAAACAGATGTTACTGTTTTTGTTAATGAACATAAATTTAAAGAGTAGTTTAAAAACACAATTAACACTCTGGTTTATAGCCTACAACTTTCACTTAGTTGCAAAAATATGCCTTTAAACTTGAAAAAATAAATATTTGACATATATCGTGATAATTATCGATATCGACTGATATCAAAAAAATTATCGTGATAATTTTTTTTGGCCATATCGCCCAGCCCTATTTGAGAGTAGTAGGCGTGGTCAACCTGTCACTTCAATCCAAGGTGACCAATAGAAAAGGGCCCACTGAGACACTGCTTCGTTCGCAAGCAAAAGCGTTCAACTCGAAAGCAAAACATTTCAACTCGAAAGTAAAAGATTTAGACCGGCAAAAGGCTAAATTTGTGCGTTGGTGATGAAAAATAAAGGTTTTTAAAGATTTAATATTTAAAATAATAATTTTGCTATCAAATTCTTTATTTTTGAGCCTTAATGCTGCATTCAAACCAAACGCGAATAGAGCGGCAAATTCGCGTCTAGAATCCATCTTGAATCCATTTGTGCGTCCAGCGTGAGGATGCGCGTAAAAATCAAAAGTTTGAAGCGAAATTGACGCGCGTCTAATAAGGCGAAATCCGCTTCTTGTGGGAGGGGCCAGTGCTAGACGGTTGTCTGTTTGCAAGATGTCCGTTCATCGAGAGAGGTCCCATCATAGATATCTATATAAAGGCTAGATGTGTCATCCACGCTGCTGGCCAATGGAGGTCGACGTCTGCACCTGGCGGCCATCTTGTCACAGGCAACTCGCTCACTCGTAACATTGTGTTAATGGTGCATGTACTTTTTAAATGACCATAACTTGCTCAATTTTCTACCGATTTTCAAACGGTTTGTTTTGTTATAAACGTCAGAGATGTAGTTATGACGCTGCATACTTATGAATAAAAAGTCTATAAATAAATAATCATCCAGGTAATTATAGCCACGTTAATAACATTTGGAAACCAAACGTTTGTAAATCCGTCAAGATTTCAACGAGATACTGACCACTCATCTTACATCAGCTTGTCTGTGACAAGATGGCTGCCGGTGATGACGATGGAAACTTCGCCGTAACACATCTAGCCTTTATATACATATCTATGGGTCCCACACCACTGTCAAAACATCCGCGAAAACGAGTTAAAACGGCGTATTCTGCCACCAGGCCATTAGATGGTGATGAAACACTACGGACTGAACATGTAATACGCATGCGCATGACGTCATTGTCTTCAGAGATTCGTGTTTTTGTTGTTACACAGAAACCGTTTTCTAAAACCTGCGTTTTTCACTCACCAAAAACGCCACTGTCGTTTATATTACC